TGGACTCAAACTTTGTTCTGTTACTGCATTAAGATATTCAGTCTCTGCGTACAACAGAGGCCCTGTAAGCCCGTATCTGGGACTTGCATTTTAACAAAGAAGCCATATAAATGGACCAGCCTCACCTCTCCACAAGTAAATGGATCCTCTGATTATTTGTCATTGATCTCTTGCGCCTCTCATAGGGCAGTTACCTGAATGCTGACCCACTATAATCTCCGTCTGTTCCATGATAATGAGAAGGATTAACTGAATGTTTGTTCATCTCCAACCCCCAAATAAGGATATTGTTGCAGACAGGAGTAGACTAGGAAGTCAAAAAGGCCCTGGAGTAGGTCCCTGTGGCGTAGCAGCCCCTGTGGTGCTACAAGCCAGCACTTCACGGGAACTCAGTGGTGCCAACAGTGGGCTCACCCTTTGCTTCATCCCACAAAACAGCAGCAGTCCAGGAGGAGACAGTTGGCAAGCTGACACTGATTACCAGTGCTGTCTGAGCCAAGTAGCCGCTGGCAAAGTTGACCACCAGTAGCCCTCTAGGGCAGTGGCCCACTAGGAGATGCTCTTTTAAGTGAAATGGCCGGTCCACCCCTGCCTGCAGGCTTTGTTACTCATGTTACCTCAAAATTTGGGTGTTCTTCCTTTTTAGCACTATCTTTTGCTTTAGTCACCTTTCTTTAGGACGAATTGGGATGGGCATGTGCTTCAACTGCTGATCCTTCTTAACGGTGTGATATGTTAATGTGTGCTAACACATTATGAGTATTGCTAGTGTGAAATGCAGGTGGCAAGCAGGAAGGGAGCATGTAGTCCCTGATGACAATAGTTGTTCACAGGGCTTTTTCTCTAGAAAAAGCCCAGCAGGAACTCATTAGCATAATAGGCCACACCCAGCAAAACATTAGCATATTAGGCCACACCCCTATGCCTTTTCTTGGCTTGCCTGGGTGCTCCGCGGCTGTGGGGAGCCCAGGCAAGCTGGCCCTTAGAGGGGAGGGGAGGCCATTTAAAGTGCCTTCCCTTGGCTTGCCCGGGCGCCCTATGGCTATGGGGAGCCCAGGCAAGCCCCCCCTTGAAGGGAAGGCAGTTTAAACTGTCTTCCTTTGGCGCCCAGCAGCTGCGGGGAGCCCGGGCAAGCCGGCCCTCGGACAGGCCGGGGAAGGCACGGGGAGGCAATTAAATGCCTCCCCGATCCTTCCAGGGACCCCCCGGCCCACCTGCCTTGGGGTCACTGGGGGGGTGTCGCTCTCCAGGCCTTCCCTCTGTAGCCACCCACGCAGAGGTTTTGGCTGTAGTGGGTGTGGCCAACTCTGAAGCCAGCCGGAACTCCATTCCTGTGTGTTCCCGCCCAAAAATAGCCCTGGTTGTTCAATACATTCTATGTAAGCCGCCCTGAGCCTGCCCTGGCAGGGAGGGTGGGACAGACTGGTATCAACTAGGAC